CGATATAAGTCGGTGGATGAGAGGGTAACACGCTCGATTTCCGATATAAGTCGGTGGATGAGAAGGTAACACGCTGGATTCCCGATATAAGTCGGTGGATGAGAGGGTAACACGCTCGATTCCCGACAATAAGTCGGTGGATGAGAGGATAACACGCTCCATTCCCGACAATAAGTCGGTGGATGAGAGGATAACACGCTCGATTCCCGACAATAAGTCGGTGGATGAGAGGGTAACACGCTCGATTCCCGATATAAGTCGGTGGATGAGAGGGTAACACGCTCGATTTCCGATATAAGTCGGTGGATGAGAAGGTAACACGCTGGATTCCCGATATAAGTCGGTGGATGAGAGGGTAACACGCTCGATTCCCGACAATAAGTCGGTGGATGAGAGGATAACACGCTCCATTCCCGACAATAAGTCGGTGGATGAGAGGATAACACGCTCGATTCCCGACAATAAGTCGGTGGATGAGAGGATAACACGCTCGATTCCCGACAATAAGTCGGTGGATGAGAGGATAACACGCTCGATTCCCGACAGTCATGAACCGGGATTGAATCCCGCGTTAAAATTTGTTTAATATGTGAATAACCTTCATATGTTATTCATTGTTCAATTATCATGAACTAGGTTGCTCTTGCTGAGCGGTACCTATTAATGTGATTTGAACCAGAGAGCTCGAGGAGTATGGACTCATGGAATTTGTGTAATATTTACACAAGGAGATAAGAAACAACGTGTCCTGTGAGAATTGTATCGAAGGTCAATATCATTTTGGGTACAAGTTTACAATAAGAATGTCTGTGGGGATGCAGCAATTCCTCCGAAGTTTCTTGTGATCTTGTAAGGTATCGTTAGGTCCAAAGTTGGATAGAATACTGATAAGGCACAATTTTGATTATTCTATATACAGTTACGAGCGTCATGCGTTCTTAATTCTTCAGTTTTCATCTCTGTCACCGTTTGCTTTTTTTTTTTTTTTGGAATGGTGCTCTCCTATTGGTTGGCTACGATCACGCCACCTTGCCCCCCCCCCCCCCCCATATGCCCCCCCACTCGCTTTTTGGTTTTTGTAACTATTGTGTTGGAGCGGGTCGCTCCTTAAATAAATGCATATATTAGTTAATAACTAAATGGAATCCTCTCTTTCTTTTTCCCAGTAAGAGACGCCTACGGAAGCCAACAGTACATAGACAGATAAAGCACATAGGCTATAGTTATTAACTAATATATGCATTTATATAAGGCGCCAATTTATAATTGTAACAAATATTATTTGAATAAAAACATTCAATCGGGTAAAACACGGGCGTTGCCCGGGTCATTCGGCTAGTAAATTATAAACACAAGGTAATAAGACCAAATCCAAATAAATAAAGTGTGTGACGTTTCGATAACAACGCTATTACCGAAATGTCAAACACTTTATTTATTTGGATTTGGACCTTTTACCTTGTGGATAGAATACTGTTTACTGTGGGATCGAAAAGACTTTCTAGAGAGCATAGAATAAGATGGCGGCAAGTTGGAATGATCCCTTGACAAATTGATCTGTTTGCTCATTGCCTTCTACACCGCTGTGGCCTCTAACCCAGCAGAGCTGTAGATTTAGATAGTTGAGATTGAGAATTATCTCTGTTATGAGTGAGCTTTTTTGGGAGTTCTGTGTTACAAATGACGTGGTAATCAGAAACAATTGCTGCAAGGTAATCAGAAGCAATTGCTGTTAGTTGTCTCGGCATGAGCTGGATAGCTCTAGTTACGTAGAGAATAGCAAGTAATTCTGTTTGGAAGGAGGTGCAATGATCATGAAGCTTTAGTTGTATTGGGGTGTAGAGTGGCAGATTTATTCTCTGTGTGGAATAATGGACGCCGTCCAGACGGCTCAGGTGACGATTGTAAACAAACATGCTCGGCGGCGCCAGCCGCCAACAAAGGACTAGAACACGGTTTGGTCTGCTACCAACCAGTTTGGTGTTTTCCTCTGTCCTCTTAAGATGTATTAAATAAAATTAGTTAGAAGGAGACTTTTACCCACTCCTTTATTCTATTTAGTGATCTTATTTAAATCCTTGCAACAGCCCACAAAGAATCATCACAGCGAATTCTTCTACCGAACTCGCTTCAGTGTTTTGTGAAACGACTACCCGACAATTTCTTCACACTCTGAATAACTTTTCTAGCTGAAAATTTGAAATAACTTTAAAAGCTTCTTTTTAAAACTACACTCATGGACAAAACTTATAGAAGCTATACCTTTTATTATGTATATCAGGATTCAGACAATAAATTTGAAAGATATTACAGTGACTTTTATTGAAGACACACGAGATAACCAAGTGTAAACAAAATTGCATCTAGTTCCTTCAAAAAGCGTGTCGATCAACGACACCAAAGCATTTCCATTCCCTTTGTCCATGAGTGTATTTAGGAAATTTTCAAATGTGATCAAATATAATAGATGTCAAAATTCCATTTATAGAGTGTGAAATGTAACTGAAATGGTGTCGTTTTTCAGGGTTTTCAGTAACTTTGTGGTATTTCTCCCCATTTTCTTATTACTGACACAAAATTAAATTTTAATATGAATCAATTTAAATCTCCTTTGGATATCTGATATCAGAATATAAACGTTTATGGAGATAAGAATCTTTATTTTGATCATCTCAAGCTTTCGGGCTTTAGTTTTAGCATCAGGCGGCGTTATATTCTTAATGTATTGTTCTCCTGTGGAAGGGCAGACAAGCCCGAAAGCTTGAGATGATCAAAATAAAGATTCTTATCTCCATATACGTTTATATTCTAATAACAAAATTAAATTAATTAATTACCGCAAGTTTTCTTTTTTTAATACAGTAGAACAACCTCCATGAGAGGACACCCTCACTAGAGGACACCTCTCTACAAAGGACAGTTTTCATTTGCAAAATTACCATTTTTACTATTTAGCAACTCTCTGTTAAAAGGACACCTCTCTCTAAAGAATACTTTGGCTCTGCAATTAGGTGTCCTTTATACAGGGAGATTCTACTGTATATATATATATTTATAAAAGCATAGGGCGCCTCTCCCGTCAAAATAAACGTCTAAAACTGACGCCATCTATTGACCGTCGCCGCAACTAGCGGCCTCGGGTCGGTGACAAAGCCACAACGCCAGCTTTGGCAAACTGAGAAGCGTCCACCTAGAGACCATGGTTTCGGGCTAGATTTGGCCCAGCCACCTTGCCAGCTAAACACCTCTTTGGTAAATTGTGAAGGTTCCATTAGATCCCGTGTGGATCTCATGGAATAAAGTCCGCCCTAGACTGACGAGGGCAATTAGCCCGAAACCATGGTCTCTAGGTGGACGCTTCTCAGTTTGCCAAAGCTGGTGTTGTGGCTTTGTAACCGACCCGAGGCCGCTAGTTGCGGCGACGGTCAATAGATGGCGTCAATTTTTGACATTTATTTTGATGGGAGAGGCGCCCTATGCTTCTATGGATCAATTTCCTCCCGGCAAATTTTCCATCTATATATATTTATTGAGGTATTTCGGGTCTTGGCCTTTTTCAACCTTCAGAAAAAAAAGAAGGCTAAGAAAGGGCAAGACCCCAAAAAGCTCATAATAAATATATCTTTATAAAGCAACACTTAAAGTTTCACCGCATAAGTTTCTTTTTTTGTGAAAAATCAATATTTATTTCAAAGAGAAATATCTACTATTTCTAACTTTTTTGGATGACGTATGAAAGGGTGAAAATATGAAGAGTAATGGCGAACGGAAAAATAAAAATAATTTTTTCCGTTCGCCATTACTCTTCATATTTTCACCCTTTCATACGTCATCCAATCATATATAGACCATTACTCTTCATATTTTCAACCTTTTCATACGTCATCCAAAAAAGTTAGAAATAGTAGATATTTCTCTTTGAAATAAATATTGATTTTTCACAAAAAAAGAAACTTATGCTGTGAAACTTTAATTGTTGCTTTATAATCATACGCCGCAGTCCTTTATAATATAAAATATATCTTTATTAAAAAAAAATTGTGATAAGTCATTTATATAATTTTATATCAACATATTATATCCTGCAATTTCCAAAGAATATAAATTCTCTCTCTTATAATACATACTAGCCGAATGACCCGGGCAACGCCCGTGTTTTACCCGATTGAATGTTTTTATTCCAATACTATTTGTTACAATTATAAATTGGAGCCGTGGATGTCACTCTTGTGAAACGTCCCGCTCCAAACTTTACATGTACATTAGGTCAGCTGGTATTACCCCTCATTTTCACCGCTAGAGGCGCGAGCGAATTGACTTTTTGTAAATATACATAATTATAAAGATAGAAGCTTCTATAGAAGATAATGATCATAATGATGATGCGCTCGCATCCGTGACATGAGGAATTGAGGAAAGACGGTCGTGACTATATATATTAATAATAAAATAATAATAATGATATAATAATAATTATTATTATTATTATCATTAGATAATGATAATGATCATAATGATGATGCGCGCGCATCCGTGACATGAGGAATTGAGGAAAGACGGTCGTGACTATATATGTTGATTTTAAAATTAAAATACTAAACTTTTGTAATAAATTTGAAAAAATAGAACAAAGGTGAAATTTTCACTGGGTTAAGGTGGATAAATTAAGAAAAAGAAATCTCCTTATCGTACAACTGAAAGTTTCTGATGGCTCGCGCCACCTATCGGAATAAATATAAACTATTCATTGATTTTTTATTATTCCAGAATTTGACCAAATACCCATTCTTGATTAATAAAGAAAAAAAAAAAACACTACGCGTTTCGGGCTGTTGGCTCTCATCAGCGTGGTGCTAACGGGTAGTTAAGGCCAGAAGTACGTGAGAACGATTCAGTTGCACGATAAGGAGATGTCTTTTTCTTAATTGTAATAATTTTTTCTACACGATTTTATCAAAATATATAATTTAAATAGACCTCATAGACCAAACCTTGCGTCTACGGCCATACCACGTTGAAAACACCGGTTCTCGTCCGATCACCGAAGTTAAGCAGCGTCGGGCCCGGTCAGTACTTGGGAGGGTGACCACCTGGGAACACCGGGTGCTGTAGGCTTCCTTTTTTTTTTTTTATATTCTATTTTAAAAATACATCTGAAAACACAGTCTTATCATTTTAACTTTCGCAGAAAATATATGTATATTTTTATTATGAACTCTTTGAGTTGTAAATATAAATTCAAGGCCTCCCAATATATATTTTTCATCCTTTTCTTTTTAGTGATCATAGAAATTTTTCTTTTATATAAAATATAAGACATATAAACAATAGACGCATTGATATGGGTAAAAGGCTATATGTAAATTTAGCAAAATGTACATATATACAGTATGCACAAACAGATATGCAAATCAAGACCTTAATGTGACTGACCCAGGTTTCTGCATTGTTAAGTCCCTATAACAAGTGTAATTAAGACTTTATATATTTTTCCTTCACTTTTTAGACTTTGATGTAAATCTAATGTATAAACACTTACTAAAAATTTTGAAGTGTAGTGAAACTAAAAAAAAACACTGGGTTATTTTTAATTTTTAAAAAACACAAGAAAAATTTAGTTTAGTATATGCCTCTTTTAAATGTATATACCAAATATTTAAAATTATTTGACACGCTGTGGTTTTTAACCAAATTTTATTTAAAAAAACTAAACCATACACATCATGGGAAACTTTAAAATCCTTTCATTTCTTTAAAAAACACAAATTAGTAGTTGGTTAAATTTATGGACCATACATCAGCTCGACGGTGGCGCTCGAGTGGTAGAAATTGGAACTAATATTAGCTTTGTATAATTGAAGCCTGTTTGAAGTAAGGTCACGTGTTTATAATCAGAATTACATATATAGACGTATAATATATGAGCCCCTCAATGCACAGATTGATTAACTCCATAAATAATCGGGAAAAAAATGTTTAATTTTTGTTGAAAGTCTAAAAATCTATATGTCATATAGATTTTTAGACTTTCAACAAAAATTAAACATTTTTTTCCCGATTATTTATGGAGTTAATCAATCTGTGCATTGAGGGGCTCATATGTATATTGTACATTAACACTTTATAAATATACGTGACCCCGATTAAATTAAATTTTAAACGGAATTAAAATATGATAAGGCACAATTTGGATTATAGATTATAATAAAAGAAAATAAGACCTAATCCAAATAATTTATTAGTATGTGACGTTTCGGCAACATCAGACAAAAGAATAAAATTTTATTAACCATAATTATTAACCACACACATTAAATTATTTGGATTAGGTCTTATTATCTTGTATAAGGAATTAATACAAAAGACAATTTTAGTTCCCACTTTTGCCACTCGAGCGCCACCGTCGAGCTGATATTGGGCCCATTAATCTGACTTTAAGAAAGTATTTCTCTCATTCTATATGAATTCAAATAACCGCTTCAATTTAAAATTGTTTTTCTCCATACATCCTTTTAATCATTTTTATAAATTCTATCAATCAAAAAACAGATATTTTCCATATTTATCTCTTCGTTCACTTCAAACAACGGTACATACATATGAAACAAAGTTTCACTAAACTCGATTATGATTTCATTCAGGTGAATAAGTACACCTATCCCCCGATTTACACGGTAGATACGTTCCTGAGAAAAACGTGTAAATCGAGGGATAGGTGTATATTAAACTGTCAAATCTGAATAGGTGTTCGCCCCCTCATGAATCAGAAGCCTCCCAATATTCTTTTCAACATAGGTAGTATAGAGTAGAATATCGCATTTTAGTATAGTGCGATAAAAAAAAACTTATTTGGAAAACCGTGTAAAAGCGAAAACGTGTAAAACAAGTACCGTGTAAATCGGGGGATAGGTGTACTAACAATGGCACCTTAATCAAGATTCTACAAGATTATCAATCCAAAGTCTGGCAGTAGACTTGGTTGTCTTGTCTTCATTTAATCCAAGCATTCTTTTGATCTGTTGCCTTCCAGCCTTCAATTTAAAAAAATAATAATAATAATGTATCATGTCCTGTTACAAGGCCTAGTATTCACTACAGTTTTATTGACATTTGGTATTGAATGTTTAGAAAGCAACCACTACATTATAATGATTCAATAGGGTGTTAATTGTTGTTGTTGTTGTTGTGTCCAATGAAGAGCCTCAGATGTCTCCATACATCTCTATCACAGCAGCAGCAATGTCCACTATCTTGGGTGTGTAAAGCAGCTGCTCTGGGTCCATGTCAATTTTCTGCACGGCTGCGGCCATTGCTGGGCATGAGAATATGTGAGTAGGTGTTAGTTCCACACCAGGACAGTTGTCGCATGTCCTATAGGTTCTTGGGATGTTAATTAAAAAACGACTTAGAACGCTTCACCAATTTGCGTGTCATCCTTTCGCAGGGTCAATGCTAATCTTCTCTATGTCGTTCCTATTGTAGTATATGTACCGCCGAAAAAGCTTGTTAAAAAACTGCTTAGAAAAAGGTAAAACTATTTTGAATATATTCAAGATATTAGTTTTTTTATTTTATTTAATTTATTTGTATTTATATTTTTACTGAAATATAGGATCTCGCTATGTACATGTAAAGCGGAGTTCATATATATATTTTTCTAAACCGAATTTGTCTTTATTCGAGAATAGTTCTAATTTGTCATGATAGATGGCACCACTTACTCAGAGATTCAGAAGTAATATATTCCTGCGATTATAAGGAGGGTATTAGGGTCAATTTATATTTGGAAACACGGAATTATACATTTAACTCGCTTTCCAAACAAAATTTTAAAAATAATTGAAATCAAATTTGTTACTAATAAAATAACTAAAATCACTCAGATATGAAATAAAGCAGTGTCATAAAAATAGGCTTAGGCTGATTAATAAAAATATGTATTTATTATTTAAAATATGTGTTCTAATATTGAAAACTAGCCGAATGACCCGGGCAACGCCCGGGTTTTACCCGATTAAATGTTTTATTCAAATACTATTCGTTACAATTATAAATTGGAGCCGTGGATGTCAATCTTGTGAAACGTCCCGCTCCAAACTTTACATGTACATTAGGTCAGCTGGTATTACCCCTCATTTTCACCGCTAGAGGCGCGAGCGAAAGAGCAAATTTGCAAATAACACGACGGATTTTCGGGATAGAGACCTGAAATTTTCACTAAGAGTTTTTCCAGATTCTACTTTATATACTGTTAAAATATGTTGTGTATATGTTAAATAAGCCGAAATAGCTCAGTTAGGAGAGCGTTAGACTGAATATCTAAAGGTCCCGGGTTTCGGCATCTTTTTTTAATTTTTAAATTTCTACTTACCGTAACTTGACACGTGACCAAAATCTATCCGTGAACTTCACACAGTGAACTTCACACAGACAGAATAAGGCAATTATATAAGTAGATATTAATTACATATAGCTAAAAAAAAACTTGATAAAAATATTGTAAAATTTATTTGTAAAAGTGACGCATACTTTTCTTACAACAATGTAATAATAAAATATATGTCTTTAAATTAATATATAAAATATTGGAGAAATCGTAAAAAAACAATTATCGTTTGTATTTATTTAGTTAACCCAGGTGTCTGTCGTAAACTACCCGCTATAGGTACTATGTGAGAACATTAATAACTAACCACTTTTTATTGATAAAAAATACATAATCATATTATATAAAATTCTAATCGAAAAATGCTTCGATATTTTCAATATTATAAAATTTATATTTATTCCATTTATGAATAGTTTAAATTTTGCCTAACAGATGGCAGCACATAAAGGAAAAATGTTTTTTTCATTTTTTTTTAAATAATAAAAATATAGATATTTCTTTCAAAATATGATATAAGTTATTTTTAAATATTTAGAATTTGAATTGATTTTTAAGAAGTTAATTTAAAATAAAATATCTTTAAATACCCGATTGCTAAAATTTGACAAAATGGTTGGGAAGGTCAACCATCGTCGTTTGGCTAATAGCTCAGCTTTTCTTCACGCACGTATTAATCTTTCGCCTTTTACTAAAGATTACCGTGGAGAGGAGCATCTCAATGAGCCTCTTGTAATTTTTGACGCTCTCCCCTGGAGGGCTAATTGCTAATTAAAAATAGTGAATCAATTAAATTAGCAAACTAAAGTCTGGACATCAAAGACTTTTTTTTTCCCTTGATGGTACGGAGTAAGTCTCTTTCATCTAATTGGTTGGTAGTTTTCTGGTATCAGGGTGGCCAACAACTATGAAAAACAGTTCACCCCCAATCCCTATACATCCCACTCCAAACCTACTCGTACATACATCAAACGTGTGAATTCATACATGAAAAAAAAAAAAGAAACAGGACTAGAACCAACAAATATTGGTGAAATAAAAGCGATTATTGAATATCTACCAAATAAAAAAGCTCCCGGAATCGACGAATTACCTAATGAAGCTCTCAAACTGCTCCCTAATCATATACTAGCATCAATAACCGAAATATTTAACGCCTCACTGCAGCTTGCCCACTTCCCTGACAGATGGAAAACGTCCATTATCTGTCCCATACTTAAAAAAGGAAAATCCATCCATGAACCAACAAGCTACAGGCCCATCTCACTGCTACCTGCCATCTCAAAACTATTCGAAAGAATTGTTTTAAGAAGACTCAGAAAATCCCTAGAAGAAAAGAATCCACTCAGACCTGAACAATTTGGCTACCAAGCCAAACACTCAACATTGCACCAGCTAGTAGTTGTCACTGAAAAAATAAGAAAAGCCATGGACCTAGGCCAAATAACAGGAGCCGTATTCTTCGATATCGCCAAAGCATTCGATAAAGTCTGGCACGAAGCCCTTCTCTACAAAATGTGCAAAAAGCACCTTCCCGGAGACATCATAAAAATAACGCAAAACTTCTTAACAAATAGAACATTCAAGGTACGAGTCAAAAATGAACTTTCAACAGCTAGGAACATCCTTGCCGGGGTCCCCCAAGGATCAGTCACAGGACCAACCTTATTTGACATATTTATAGACGACTTCCCCTGTATTGAAGACACCTCTTTACACCTATTTGCCG